CAAACTCTCAAAGAGAGGCGCAGGCCCATTATTCAACCGAGAGGTCACAGGAGGGAGTGGGGAAGAGGGTGAAAGAGAAGGAATCATGGCGTAACATCGGCCAGAAGCCTTAGAAAATACAGACTGAGATGACAGTCCCATTGGTATCTTCTCCTGAATCACAGTATCCTCAGTCAGCAAGCAATGGAACAGAAAAACAAATGTAGGCTCAGCGGTGGGGGTTGGAGGATTAATGATGTAAGAGCTATTGCAGCTGGTCAAGGGACGCCACTGAGGCTCCTCAGCAAGCTATCAGCACTTGTAAAGGGGGCTCTAGAGGTGAGACTAAGACTGTGGGGCCAGAGCGCCATCAACACTGACTCTATCCTCCCCCGAAACCAACGGGGATGTTGTCAGCACAGCACCGCATCTGCACTGGGAACAAAGAAGAGAGGGAGAGAGAATTTTAAGCACAATGCCATAGTTGAGAGAAGCATCAAAGGCCTTATTTGGAACATGCTGTTCAGATTAAAGCCTTGATAAATAAACAAGTTCTACACTCCTTTCTCCTCAGAGCGAGAGTTTAAATGATCTTCACCTCCGGATGCTGGTGCTGCATAGAAAGCAGTTCCCTGGGTGTTCTGAGGTGAGTTTGGGTAATTTAAACTACATTTCCCCTGTCTCTGTTGCACCTGAAATCGACAGATTTGTCAGCCCTGCCACCATTCTAAAAGAGGCGACAAACCGCAGTCATAAGGGATTGCTAGCTGCTGATAAACTGATTTTCAGATCGGTAAAGGAAGAAAACGTAGCATAACAGAAGGATCTCAACAGTTGATGGGTTCCCCTGAGGAGCAACAGGGAATCTGTGGTGCCCACAGGGTAGGGTTTTGTTTGGTTGTGTACTCACATTCAAAATATGTTAAATGTAAGTGCACATATCAGTATAGTCATTTTAAGACCTTGAGCCAGGAACTCAGATTTCTTAAGGCCAAAATTGCCGACAGTGACGCAGAGAAGAAAATGTCTTTGTTTAGCATTCCAGTGGTCAGGATGAAAATGAGCGACCGTCGAGACGGAAGACCCACTGAATTGCCTTGGGACACGGCTTGTGCCAAGCAGCTTCAACACATGTAGACAGGTCTGTAAAAGTGGTTCTTAATCTGTATATAGCTCTATGTACAATACAGGACAATAAACCTGAACCCTGCCTTTGAAAGAACTCTCCATGTACAACAGAATATCGTACTGAGAAGTGAAAGCACTTCTGCTTGCTAAGTGCAATCATTAATATCCAATCTAAAAATCACTCATCACAGTTATTCACATTCACTTAGCCTCACAACACACCTACAGATCAAAGTCATTTTGGTGATTCATTCTTCATTGCTCTTGGACAGAACTGATATCAAGTGTTTTCAGCACTCAAGAAATGCCAAGATAATAATCTCTTGGCTCTCTCGGGTGCCCTGCAACAGCATGTACAGTGGTACTGGAGCACCACTTGTCAAGCAGATGCTTTCTGAGTGCATCTGCCAAGTGGTATAGTGAAACTGGCTCATCCACTCCACCCACTCATCAGCGAGTGACCGAGGGCTACCCCAAGGCTCAGCCTACCTCAGACCCTCTGATCATAAGGAGAACACAACTCTTTGACACCGCATGCCCGCTGCAAAAAGGGAAACGAGAGATGGAGACAAGCTTGGCTCTCATCATCACAGGAGAGTGCCAAAAAAAGGCCAAGAGGAGTTTAGACACTTGTATATTTTAATTGAGATTACACAGTGAGAAAAAGATTAAAGATTTATATGCCACTCAAGTCAGTGATGCAAACCACTATGCCATTAACTTCTCAGAGTCAAAGAGCATCCCAATAAGGACAGAGAAAATCCTTATTCCTTTGACCTAAATACATCTTCCATTCATCAGCTGTTGAATAAAACCTCACCAAAGATTGTGCTCTGGTACCTTGGCAGACAAATAGGGACTTTTGTGTCTGGTTGTTTTAAGACACATCCAGTCTCTGAAGGGATCAATGTAACAACACAGCCAATAACACTGGAGGAGCTTGTCAGGACTCAGGGGCAGGGCAGAAACCACACAATGTGAGAAGAGGGACTGAAGGTGATGAAAGAGTAACATCAGTGCGGTGTCAGTTAGATGACTGGCCACGTCTACAGATAACACCAGTCTCTGTCATTCTTTCATTTCTGCAAATACTCAGAGAAGCTCAAGGCCAAAGGGAGGCACAAACAAAAGCTTTATTTAAATGGTCCTTTTAAGTGGTTTCATGTGGAATTTAAAAGAAAAGTCCAAATTACTGTAAGACCCAGGCCATACACTCTCTTGTTCCAATCACAGGCATACAAACCGGTGACAAATTAAAAGAAAGGCTTGAATAACTGAGTGTCATCCTCTTCCAGGAGGACAGAGCTCCCATCCACAGGGCACAAAGGGTCATTGAATGGTTTCAAGAGTATGAAAAGTGATGTGAATCACATGCTATGGCCTTCAGTCACCAGGTCTCAACCCAGTTGAACTTACGGGAAATGTTGGAGTGACGTGTTAAATAGCTCCTCCACCACCATCATCAAAACACCACGTGGGGAAATATATTTTGGAATAATGGTGTTCATCCCTCCAGTAAAGTTCAGAGACTTGGAGAGTCAGTGCCAAGGTGCAGTGAAGCTGTTTTGGTGGCACGTGGTGACCCAGCACCTCACTGAGACACTTTATGTTGGTTGTTATCTTGATTTGTCACCAGTCTGTACATACACTGACACTTGCATGCTTTCACAGACCTGCAGAATATCCAGCCTGCTGTCAAGTAACAAAGGTGGGCTGGACAGGGCTGTAGAAACTGGTGAAGGGGGCAGCAGGGAACTGTGCAGATCTTTTTTTGTTACAAAAATATAAATAGTGCATTGGCTGTCAGAGAGCTTACTGACACAATGGGTGTAATGCAGTCATTGCTTATGGCTGACAGAGAAAAAGCAGAGCTACTTCATTAAATGCAAAGGAAAGGAAGCGAGGACAAAACAAACAAAGCAAGAGCTGGGCAAGAAAGGAAAGGGGTTAGTGAGTGTTGGGGGTTGGTGGGTGGGTGGAAGGAGGATTTCATCTTCCCTTCCATCTCAATCATATTGGAGAATCAGGCAGCAACTCTAGGTAAGCCTCCCCATCACTTGGGCCTCACATTTCCAAGGCTGCTCAGTTCCCACAGCGTGTCCGGGCCTGGATCTGGCCGTCCTCCCCACTCAGGCAGCCCTGCGTCTTTAGACCCCCAGGCCCAGGAGCAGAGGTTACACCAACACAGCCAGCTACAGCAGCATGTCAGCCCCACACCAGCCGTTGCCTTGGTGCCACTACATTAGTGAAGAGCGCCTGACTCTGCTCGAGGGAAAGTGATTTGCCATGACGTCTGCGGCTCCCCTCTTCCTTTCTCTTTTCCTTGCTTGTTGCTGCTCGCTCACTAAGAGCCCTCCGCTCCCACTGTCTGTCTCTGCACCCTTAATCTCTCCTGTTTCCCCTGGTCTCATTTTTCCTTTCTTTGTCATTCTCTCCACCACATCCTTGCGTCGTTTCCCTCCTCATTCCACTGCTCTTTCACTCTTTTTTTCCTAGGGTAATGACTGATGCCTGAAACACGGTGCCCTGATTAGTCTGACACAGATGAAAGACAAAGACTCCTGTTGGAAACATCTGTGTTGAGAACACTGAGCTGGCTAATTGTGCATTTTTCATGTTTCAGCATTCTTCCAATTTGCCCCCGGCTTGCAGACAATGTCAGTGCCACCTACATTAAGTTAGGCAATAAATATGTTCACAAATCACCTCAGAGCCAAACATGGATAATATGCAACTGAAATGCCATTTGCCTTGCACTCATAAAGAAGAACTGGAGGAGAAGCCTGTCAAGTGGTTGTCCATAGCCTTTCACTGTGACCAACAAACAGGTGCATGCCATTACAGACAGCAGCATTCCACGCTACATGGAAGTGCGTAATCGATATTGTAGAAAATAAAATGAGAAAAAAGTAGGTGTAATTGCAAAATGTAAATATTGAGTTTTCCCACAAGTGGGGGCAGACCACCCAGGATGCAAAATAGTCACCCACCCCCTTTCTCTTTTTGCCTTGCCGACTGCTCCAGAGATGTCTTTTTGTGTGCGAAACATCACCAGCCCCAATCAGCGCTCACACAGAAACCGTGATGTGTCTTTGCATGCAGACACTTCTGGCAGCTCTGACTTGGCATTTGTATTGTGGGAAAATAAAGTGCTGAAAACCTGGAGGAGAACACTGAGCGGATCAGAAATGGAGTGTATAACACCATGTCTGTCTTGATCCGGTGAAGTGCCAGAGTTTTGATTCAGGCTGCCCTCTCAAAAGACAAGTAAGCAAGAGGGCAGCAAACCGGGTCAGGCAGTACTGTGGCTGCAGTGTCTGACAGATAGAGGCTCCACCATGTGTATGTTACAGGTCGGTGTCAAATACTTGTCTGGACTGTGACAAATACCTCCTGATGGTCTCATTGCAATTACCTGCAGGATTAGCTATGAAACAGAACTTCACACTGCTGATGCTGTTTGAAGTTCAAAGACAGCTTTTTTCTGACAGCTGCAAAGGCAGTAAAGCTTCATTTAAGCCTCATTATGTTTCCCTTCTCTTCTATCTTAGCAAGTCTACATAAATATTAGGAAAGGAGCATACTGACAACAACAAGGCAACATAGCGACTGCAAAATCAGGGACTGAATCAACAGAAGGTGCCTGCTTGAATTAAGGTGAAAATAACCGATGGATTAAAGTCACCAACATCGAAATACCCTGCTTTGACCTTGTCTTAATACACAAATTCATGTTCCATTTACCAGGACAAGTGATCTCACGGTTGAGAAGTGTCATCTTTCCAAACGTTTCCAATAATTCTATGCACCCGGCAGTCAAGTAAAAATCAGTACATTCCCACCCATGATGAATAAATTAAAAGCCATATTGAGGAGAGAAATGAGAAACTTACCTTGAGCGGTTTTACTTCCTGCAGCTGACTGTTGGACAAAGGCGACCAAACAGAAACCTACAAATCCGAGGCTGGCGCGTATCAGAGCGTGCATATACATGTTAACTTTCATTCTAGCTGAACACTAGCACTTTCTAAGATCTGCGATGCGCAAGAGCACAGACAAGGGTGTGTGAGTGGTAGAAAGGTCTGCTGTTACTCCCTCTGAGCACCGCTGACAAGATACCGTGCGATCCTTTTCCCTCTGTACGCCTGCTTATTTGAGTTTCAAGTGATCGGGGTTGAGGATGGCCCAACAACGCGGAGGGGAGGAAGGCTTTTCTGTTATCATGTTTCGAGCCAGACCTATGTCAATTTAAGAAAGGGAGAGGAAGAGAACGTGGGAGAGCCAGAGGAAAAGAAAGGGAGAGATGGAGTGGAGTCTGAAGGGGGAGGAGAGAAGAAGCGTCCGCGCCGCGCTCCGGACTCCTCTTCTGTTGCTCCTTCTTTTCTCTCACTGACTTTCACGGTTTCCCTTTTTTTTTTTTTTTTTTTTTCTACGGAAATTTACACACAGGTGCTGGTTGGGCTGAAGGTGGACCGGGGTTACCACGTGCACTGTTGATCGGCCCCGTGCGGTCATGTGTCTGGTGCCACCTGCGTAAAAAATGTGGTCCGTCACGTTGGCGTGGTAAAGGCAATGGCTGAAAGGTGGACAAGAGGGCGGATGGATCCGTAAAGGACTCGGGTGGAAAAAAAGTAATATCCTGCTGATTGCATTGTGTCGTAACTCCAGCAGACTGTGTTGGGCTGGTTAGGGCTCATCCAGTCCCACTCACAAACCAATAAACGCTTTTCACTGGGGGCAGCGCTATATGTCACGAATGGAAGATTAATGTTGCCAGTAAAATAGTTTGTGGCCAATTAAACAGTTGGGAACAACAAATGCATATTTTTTATTATTTTAAGTGAAGACATGGTATTTTTAACTATTTAACTGGGGAGAAAAATAAGATTTAAATCATCTGTGTCCTACAGTATTGCCTGTTGACTGAGTGGAGTTCAACTAAGTTAAGCACTAAATTTAAAAACTTACTTTAAGATGGAAAATACAAACCCACATTTTATCCTGCATACAAATTCATTCCAAGGACAACTGGAGACTCATATTCCTGTCATAGCCAGAGCAGTGAACTGATATTCAGGTGAACTTGTACAAAAGAATATGTACATGAAGGATTTTTTTTTGTTGTTGTTAGAAAACCTCTGTTGTTAAGTTATTATGGTGAATGAATAAACTACACCAGCTGTTCAAAGTACAGCTCAAGATGAATCAGTTCCTCAGGTATGATAGCTAACAATCTAACTGTTTACAGGAACACTGATGAAAGCTTTGTGGCACTAAAAACTAAAACAAAAAAAACCTGGATGCAAATTATATTTTGTTTTGGCTCCAGAACCATAACAACACAACATTATCTGCTCATCAGTACTGAGTTCCTCCCTGTAGGGGATTCAGCTCAGCTGCCACATTTCCCTCCGTGATTTTTCCTCCTGGCTTTGAATAACTAAAGCCATACCTGGAGTCAGAAATCAGTAATATGGCGCTTCACGGAGGTATTTTTAAAGCATGCTATAAAAGAAAACCTGTCATGCCAAATAAAGATGAAATGTGATCAGCATGCTAAGAGTTTTGAAGTTGAATAGGGTTAAAGGTGCTTTTCACTTCCTGCCATCAACCATTTTTTTGCAAATCACTGATCACAAGACACTGTGCACACCATTACCCCCAAGACATGAAGAGGAACAAAGCTTAAGGATGTACATGATTCAAACCAGACCTCTCTCACATTACCAGGAGCACAAGCTGCTGAGCTGCTGTGCCACATTTCACCATCAATGACATATGAAACAACCATTTTGAGGAAGCGTCCTGCAGAGGAAAAGCATCTGTATCCCCACACCTGCTCTCCTCCTCCTGCTTTATCAGCTAAATTAATCAGCTGTGTTGATACAATTATGATTTTGTTTCAACCCTGGAACAGATTCTACACTATAATTATCATGTCTGCTCCCATGTGTATTTTTTCCCTTTTGTTTTAATCAAATATAATTAGGGCTTCACAATGAGGCTGATTGGAGATAACAGGTCTACTTTCCTCAGATGGAGCAGAGAATATGAAGCATAAATTTTGATATATCTGGTGCCAGAGAGGGAGGAGAGATGATTGCTTAGTATTATCTTGTATTTTATCAGAATTTTGTTGTTGCATGTACTTTTAAGAGCTACACTACCTTAGACTTAAAGACAGATATTTATGGTTTCCCATGCTACAATATTTTTGGCAGAAACTAGCAACCCCAATAAATAAGAGATTCAGCACAAGAGAATAATCTTCTGAGAAGCCACATTCACACCCACAGAAGAAAAAAAAAACATAAATCCACAGTACAAAGTCAAGTAGTTCAGTGTAATTAAAGTAGCATCCACCAGGGATATGGAAATATATCCTATGTCCCTGCGCCCAAGTCTCTGGGTAATTGTGAGTACTTGTATAACCAAATGAGCTCAGAGTCACTAGGGGAGTTTGAGAAAGTCAGAACACGGTTGCCACAGAGCCTGAGAACAAGTCGCACTGGAGGATCAGAACACTTCTCATGGCAACACTCCTCTAAAGACAGAGGGCTGTGCACGGGCCTCACACCATGCACCAAACCAAGCTATTTTTAGACCAACAGACACACAAGGGGTGCCAAAGCTATTTTTAATTTATGATGCTCGTCATGCAAAGGGCTACAGACTGGATTAAGACGAGGGGGAAAAAGCGGAGGGTGTAGAATGAGCAGCGAGGATCAGATAATTCAGATGAAACTGTTACATCCCTTTCCACAAAGCACATTCATGTCTGACCACAACCTGTTGTTTCTTGTTTTACTCAGGGTGAAAAGCGTCATTTTATTTTTGGATTTTGCTGAATTTGATGGCCGCATCACTTTGTAACCTTTTATTTTAAAGAGCTGAAGCATATAAAAGAATTACGATTGGCAGAGGTTTGCCACAGTGGTTCCATCTTTACCAATAGTTGTTTGGAAACTGCAAAACTTCCACTTCTCAGAACTCAGAAGACAAGAAAACATGGCCACCAGTTGTTTTAGTGTTACAACTCACTTTTAATTTTGCCTCTGAACACTCAGACAACACTCCGACAGCTGTTGCTATAAGATAAATGTAAGATGGATGCGTTTGGAGGTGTCAGTGAGAGCCGCTGTCCTATACTGCATGCTAATGCACTGACATGTTAGAAGCCCCGCAGAGAGCTTAATGTTCTTTTCCAGATGGCCATACACACAAACACAACTGTCTAAGAGATTTATGTTTGAAAATGGTCAGAACATTCTTTTTTCTTCCTTATGTTTCCTCTCTGCTCTGATTTCATAGGTGAGGTTACCAACACCACCACAGGCCCAGCTGGAGCTCCTGGTTCTCAACATGCCAGCGCCACAGGGGAGCAGAGTGGCTTT